TTTCACCCAGAAAGAAGGGAAGGCTGACCGTGAGATAACCCATCACAACTTTGTACCGTACGAAACAACAAGAGGCGAGCACCGAGCGAAGCTCGGTGCGCCGTCTTGGGGAGAGGGAGCAGATATCGTAGCGCCGCGTCTATGTAGTTTTTCTCACGCCTCTTCCTTCCGGAGCCTCACCGCGAGAGCGGGAGGCGTATCTGCATCAAATCCCACCCGCCCCATACCCTGATCTTTCGTGAAGTCTTTTCCGAGCAAACTTCAGGCGAGCCTCCGGGCCCGCCTTCGGTTTGCGCCCAGAGGGGGCGGCCCTTGGGGGCCGCTTCCTTTCACCCAGAAAAGAAAGGGAAAGGCTGACCGTGAGATAACCCATCACAACTTTGTACCGTACGAAACAACAAGAAGAAAACACGATCGACCCGCCGGTCGCGGCGGACACCACCAACGCGGGATTTGCGACGCGACTTGCTTGAGACTGGGTTCGGTGTAGCGGGGATGTTCTCCCATTCTCCGACGTCCTCATGATCAGGAACGACGTTGAGCTGAGCGGGAGAAACACCATCGTGCGTGATTGCGTCCGTGTCGCCCTGGCTTCCCTGTACATCGGCGCCAAGCTCCGCCAAGACCTGGTCCCACCATGGACTGTCTACAGTAGCAGGAGGAGTATGATCTGCGAGGAAGAGCAGGTCTAGGGAGCTGCGAGCTACATGACGCCCCCACTTGTCACCATCTTCTGGAAGGAACAGCGGGTCATCATCATGAGATGTCTGCCATTCGAGCTCCGGGCGGTCGCTTTGAAGAGCTGTTACGTCCGAGCCTTCATCCTGCAGCGCGTTCGAGTCATCAATGAATATCTCAGTCGGATCTGGATAAATGCCGGCCCATTCAGATCGATCAGACGTAAAGGAGGCCTTCCAGTTCCCATTGCGAAACGTCTCGACGAGAGGATGATTATAGCCATAATAGCCAAAAAATGGGGGAGGAACTCGACGTCCTTGAAGCCAGGTGTGGTGTCGGGCATTGTGTGATGTTATGCGCTCTTCCATGACTATCTTGGTCAAGCTTTCGAGAAGATCACATGCTGAAGATGCCAAGAATCATTATAGATCATGACTATGAGTGGACCGAGTCATTACTTACCGACAGAGCTCATCAATTGCTTGCGCATTCCGATGAGATTAGACTGCCTTGTCTGCATCTGCGTATCGAAGCTCGACCCTTCGTTAACATTGTAAAGAGGCCGTCCCCATAGACTATCGACAACAAGTCAAAGCAGAGCTGGTAGATACACAGGTTGACGTACAGGAAGAACATCACAGCCCCTGCGCTGAAGGCGTCGCTAAGGTGGCTGTATTTGCGCACAAGCAACTCGGGCGCCGCCCACGCAGCTAGTGGAGTGTCAGTTCCATTTGATTGACCAACCTCACCAACTTCAGCGCTGCCGGACCGTACAGCGAAGCCGAGGCCGCTTATCTTGATTGAAGGAACGCCGCCCTGGCTCTTGTGGAATACGAGAATGTTCTTTGAGCGTCGTATGTGTATGGATCAGTATTCGAAGAAGAACCAACATACGAGGATTACCTCAGGTCTCAGATTGCGGTGGATGATACCACGACCATGCAGATACTACAAAGGAAGTGTTAGATTACAGTCACAGTATGACACATATATATCACCATCAGCCCGTCCATGAGTTGAGCCATGACGGGCCGCGCCTGAAGCTCGCCTGTGACGGTGAATCAAGTAAGTAATAGGTAGAGGGGATAGATAACTTCTGCGTGAACTTGACGCACCCAATTTCTGCCCAAACTTAATGAAGTCGTGAAGACTGCCGAGGGGAGCGAGGAAAGTAACCGTAGCTGCAAGACATCAGTAAGCGAGCGTTCGAGAGGGCCTATGAAGTACCCACAGATCTCCCTGACGGGATCGTTCACGTCCGAGCGACCCACGAACCAATCACTCAGAGACGCAATATTTGCATGAGTCAGTTCATCGAGTAGCCTGATCTGGGATGCGACAGAGGTCAACTTGTCGATCGGCACTACCCGGTACTTGATCGCCACAGCACGACCCGTCCTGCGATGTTCCGCACTGGAGATAGCTATTGCAGGCATTACTAGTCAGGCATGTATCATAAGCATGCATACTTACTTGGGAATCGTCCTGAGGCTTGGATGGTTGGATAGTCACGGGCGTGGTGGGGAAGACCTTCCATGCCTATCAGGTACCGAAACTTGTAATCTAATAAGAATTTATCAAAATGAACTGTTGTGAGTAAGGCTGATGGAAGGTTTTGAAATAGGCACGCTACCTAACCCATCGATGCGAACGATGGCACCAGGGACCAGTGTGCGTGTTTGCCTGTATTCGAGTAGTACGCCGTCGATCTAGAGGACTGCAGATCAGCACCTTTCATGTTGTTACGGGATCGAAGCCATAGAGCGTACATGGATTACGGAAGCGAGGCCCTCACGCAGAATCTCAACTTGTGCGTTGATGCCTCCGGTATGAAGACGGAGGGTAGCTACAGGGAATTGCTCATTCGCAAGAGCTGCAGCAGGTATGTCCAGAACGTTCGACGATGAGTGTCGAGTTGAAGAGGGGACGAATGGTTCTTACCGATCTTTAACTTGATGCTGGCTCGCTCGTCAGGGGTGCTGTCATAATACATGCCCCACGTTTCTGATGTGTTGCCGAAGACGATACTGGGGCGAGACGGGGTCGAAGATTGTAGCACTGCCCAGTTGCGATCACGTAGTTCGTATGCCAAAGATGCAATCCGAGCGAATGCAGCGGGATCTACGCTGAGGTCAGCGCACGGGTAAGAAAATGGATCCATAGTAGGAACGGGTCCTACACCCCAGTGGGCCAGATCACCAGCTTTTATCCATGTGCGACGATACTTTGTCCAGTTACATTAGTAACCTGCTGTACATCTTGCACAATAGCAGGCCAGGTGCCGTTGTTATAGTATTGTCGGAGTTACTGCATGGCCATTCCGCGAACAAAGCGAAACAAAGCAACGTCGACAGCAAGCGAGTCCTTATGCGTTTTAATGAGATGCAGTGTTCCATCGTCTTCTCGAGTATACGTGTCGCTCTTAGCGCCACGTAGGGCAAGATTGGACAGCAGGCAGTCGGCAATGAAGTCGGATTGGTACATGAGGACTGACAGCAAAATCTTGCCCTCGTCAGAAATGGCGCGCCACGTTTTTATCATCACAAGCATTGCACATAATCATGTATATACAAGATGCGAGTACGCGACATAGCACGAGTCAGGAATGGGTTTGTTGTACGATCCATTGACGATCTTTGGATCGGCGGTGCTGTCGCTTGGCCTCTCCTCCAATTCTTCCACGGGCATCCATCGGTGATGATCGAGGACGAAATGACGCCAAGCTTTCTGCGTATCATCCCACTCGACTAACTCGTCCTGTCTGCAATTCACGAACAAAGGGTTCCCGTCCTCCCTTACTTTATCGGGGGAATTGCATTCGATAATCCACGGGGGAAGCGTCCGCATAGCCCTGGTAACGCAAGCTAGGCATCGACCACTGTCAATATGCCATTCTTCAAGTATATCGAATACCTGAGAAGGTATATGTCGAAATTGGAGGGCGAATTGCGGCGAGAAGACTCTGGGACGTCGTGGACTACGTGTCACCGGAAAGATGCGCCTGTCAGGATTCCAGACCGCGGCTAGTTGACGGTCAAGCAGCATTTCCTTCTCCGGCAGGATGGCGCGCTGCTGACTAGTTTGAGGAGGGCAAGCGGACCAATCCTGAAATGCTATTCCCTGCGCATCCACGCCCATGCGCGGCCTAGGACGCAAGATTGACGAGTTATCAAACCACGACTGTTGAAGCGCCGTCCGTCTGCAGGTGCAGTGAACGGGGCATGCGTCAAGCTGGGACCGGTATAACTCCGCAAGCTCTTCAAATGTATAATCTTGTGGGCGTTTCGGTAGGCCGGCATGGGCTCGGTACAACGCCTCGAGCTCCTCTGCTGTATGTTCTCGCCAGGGTTTCTTCGCACCGTACTTGGCGCGGAACATCACGTCGCGTTGCTCGGGTGTAGCATTCGCAAAGCGTCGAGCCTCCTCTGAAATACTGCGTCGAGGATAGTGAGATAACGAAGCAGTTCATAACAGAAAGAACAGCTTACGTCGGCATTTTCGCCGCCAACGCCGTCCGACGAGCACGCTTCTTCGCCAGGTCGACGATGGTAGCTTTCAGCCGCTCGTAGCCCTGTTTCACCTCCGTGGTGGCTGCAAGGACATCCCCCTTGCAGTCGCGCAGCCATTCAATGTCGGCCAAAGCACGCACAGCGCGGGCCTTCCTATCTCGCCGACCGCTGTCCATGCGACTCCGTTTGGTACGACCCTCGTCTATAACGGTAGGAGATCCAGCTCGTCTTTTCCCTCGCGTTCGTCGAAGCGATGGTTCCGCCATCGCGGCTGGATGGGCGCGTGGAGGTGATGAGGGTCCAGGGACACCGATGGAAGTGGTCGTATCTTGCGACATGGGGAAATTCATCGAATCTATGCTTGTATCAGTCATCAGGTCTGTATTCCGAGAGCCCGGGCGTACCAGGTGCCAGGGAAGACTTCCGAAGGCCAAGATCAAACTTGAGTTCCGTATCGGACGTTGTCGGACGTTTACAACTGGACTGCAAAGGTACGGATCGTCCTCATGCAAGGTATCTCGGGTAGTAGTGGGCAGGTTTACGGGGTCAAAGAGTCAAGCAGATGTTGAAGCCTAGTATGACGGGAACGGCGGTTGTTGCGTCGTCCTGAAATTGTGGTGTCCAGCATGCGTTTCTTGTTGCGAATGGATTGCGACGACCCCACATGGAACAAGAACTATTGTTGAGGATGCGGAGAAATGTGTGGGAAGGACTCTTGTCGTAGGACTGCTTGCCTTGTTCTTGTCCACGTCGTCGGCGGCGGCTGAAAATGAGATATCACGCGCTAAGAGGGACTGCTTTTACGACGTCCCACCATGTCTTGATTGCGACCACTATAGCTTTCGACACAACTTGCTCGACGCTGACGACTACGAAATCGGCACATTGACAATGCGTATAAGACGAGGCTGAGAACGCGGGCGCCAACTGTTTCTACCCTACTACATTTTCGGCTTGGAATCACAATCATGTACGATTCCTCCATGCCGTCGTGGCTGAGACAATATTTCGGGGGACCCTCATTCTCATCTAACGCCGACCCTGAGCCCGAATGGACTGCCGCACTCGAGCAAAGCTATGCTGACGGATTCTACAATGAGGCGTCCGATGCGCACTATGGGCCGCCGAATAATTCTGTTCTGGCCCTTCGGATTCGCCGAGGCTCTTGCCCTCGCATGCCATCAATCAAATCGCGGCGATGGGGTGCGTAACACTGGTATTGAATGGCCCAACAGCATGCGATTCGTCGGGCGGATATCGAGCGCGTCGGAGGCGAAGGGCGAACAAGCGGTAACGCGCGTTGAGACCCAGAATGCGTGCTGTGATATGTCTGTTGAGCAACTTACCCATCGCGGGGGAGCTGTACGACAGGCGTGGCAAGGCGGATATGTAGGCGGAGGTACTATCGCCATAGGTCAGCACGCTCCCGTGTTTCTTGCCTTTCGTTCTCGTACCACGACGTCTGACGCGTGTCGAGGCATAGCCTCTCGACCCTACCGCCGCGGCGCACGAGCTCGAGCCTCAACGGGACCTAACAGATACACGGCACGGAGCATGACATAACGCAAGGTCGTGCAGTGTTTCATTCGGGTGAGTCCACGAATAGTGGGAGGGGCTCCATGTGGGAGGGAATCATGGCGCATATCCCCTAGTCCAACGCAAGTAATTTGCACAATTGCCGAGCACCTCAATCATCATGTGTCTACACAATGCATGTACGCGATGGTACACGATTCGGGGATGCTGAAATTCGATCCGTTCACAATTTTCGGATCGGCGGTGCTATCGCTGGGTCTCTCCTCCAACTCTTCCACGGGTACCCACCGGTGGTGGTCAAGGATGAGATGACGCCAACCTTTCCGCGATTCATCCCACTCGACCAGCTCGTCCTGTCTGAGATTCACGAACACAGGATTCCCGTTCTCCATGATATAGTCAGCAGGGTACCATCCGATGATCCAAGGAGGGAGCGTCCGCATAGCTTTGGCAATGCAAGGTAAGCACCGGCCATTCTCAGCATGCCACGCCTCGAGCGTATCGTGCACTCGAGAAGGTATATGTCGAAATTGGAGCGTGAATTGCGTCGAGAAGGCCCTGGGACGTCGTGGGCCAAGCGGTATAGGAAAGATGCGTGCATCGCCATCGCCCCCGGATATTTCATAGCGAAGAAGCAGTTCTTTCGTAGGTAAAGAAGCATACTCCGTGCCAATTTGAGGAGGGCAAGCGGACCAGTCCTCGAATGCTACTCCCTGCGCATCCACACCCATGCGGGGCCTAGGATGCGTGAACGATGAGTTGTTAGCCCGGTTTTGCTGTAGCGTAGTCCGTCGGCAGGTGCAATTAACGGGAGTTGCGTCGATCTTGGATCTATACAAATCTGCAAGCTCTCTGGGCGTATAATCTTCTGGGCGTTTGGGTAGGCGGGCTCGGGCGTCGTACAACGCCTCGAGCTCCTCGGCTGTATGTTCTCGATAGGGTTTCTTTGCACCGAACTTCATGCGAAAAAAGGCCTCGCGCTGTTCTGGCCTAGCGTTCGCGAATAGTCTAGCCTCCTCGGAGGAACTGCGTCGGACAACTTGAGATGACGAGCAGCTACACACGCGAGGATAACTTACAGCAGCTTGTTTGTCGCCGTCTCCTTACGGCAGGCACGCTCCTTCCCTAGGCTGATTATCGCAGCCTTCATCCGCTCATAGCCTTGCTTCACCTCCGTGGTGGCTGCAAGGACGTCCTGTTTTCGATCGCGCAGCCATTCAATCTCGGCCAAGGCACGCACAGCGCAGGCCTTCCTATCTCGCCGACCGCCCTCCACTCGAGTTCGTTTGGTACGATCATCGCCTCTGAAAGTAGGAGATCTGGCTCGTTTTTTCCCTTGCGTCCGTTGGAGCAACGGCTCTGTCAGCGAGGCCGGAAGGGCGCGTGTAGGTGATGGAAGTCCTGGGGTGCCGCCCGAAACGACCAAATCTTTTGGCGGATAGAGGGTCATAGAATCTATGCCTACGTCAGTCATCCGTTCGGAATTGAAGAACTCGTGTGTACTAGGTGTATCCAGAGCTCAGATTTGGTATCACTTACGGCCGTCCTCGAGCGCCTTCCAGTAGACACAGCGCAGGACTTCAAAGGCACGGATCGTTCTTGCACAGCTTACTTCGGATGGTGGGCACGTTTGCACGTTCGAACGGTGTAGTCGTTGTAGGAGTACCAGTATGCCGAGCAGCGAGAATGGGGTGGAGGTGTCGGCCTCATGTAGCATCCAGCAGGCATTGTTTGCCTCGAGTCGATTGCGACCAGTCGTTCAAGCAGAACAAGACTAATGTTGGGAACATAGAGATATCGGAAGAACTCTAATTGTTGGACTGCTTGTTGTTGTCGAGGAATTTCACGAGTCGACTAGAGTCGACCGCGTGACCTGTCAGTGTGGATAGCATTTGCGAAGTGGCCCCTTGCTTGACTACGACCACCATACCTTCTCGCACAGGTTGTTCACAATCGCGGCGTTGTCGTCCTTGTATATCTTGGCGATGCGTATAACGTTAAATTCGCCCGAACGGAATCACAACAAAGTACGATTACACAAACATGCCCTCCTGGCTGAAACAACATTTCGGGAAATCCTCATCCTCATCCAGTGCTGACCTCGCCCTCGACGCGCCCCCGCCAGAATGGACCGCCGCACCCGAGAAAAGCCACGCCGACGGGCTTTACAACGAGGCATCCGATGCGGACTACGAGGCCGCTGAGCAGTTCTGCTCCGACCACCCTCCGGATCCGCCGAGGCTTTTGCCCTCGCACACCATCGACCGGATCGCAGCGGTGGGGTGCGCAGCATGGGGACTCGACTGGCCCAACAACAAGCGATTCGTCGGGCGGATATCGAACTCGTCGGAGGCGAAGGGCGGACAAGCGGTAACGCGCGTCGAGACCGAAGATGCGTGCGGCGATACGTGTCTGCTGAGCGACTTTCCCATCACGGCGGGACTGTACGACACGCGTGGCAAGGCGGGCGTGTACTTTGAGGTGACCATCGACTGGATGGACGCAAACGGTGTCATCGCCGTAGGTCAGCACGCGCCCGCTTCCTTGTCTTTCAATTTCGCAACGCGACATCTGACGCGCGCATATATCCAGGCACGTCCTCTCGCCCGTACCCAAGCTGGCGCCTCCCGGGCTGGAACAGACTTAGCGCCGGTCTGCACCTCGATGATTGCCGCAAGTTCTTCGAAGACCCCGATGGTGGACGGGACTATACACCATTACTCGCGCCAGGCCAAGTCCGCCCGGGCGACGTCGTCGGCTGCGGCCTTGTCTTCCCCACCAGCACCAGCACATCTTTATCCTCCGACGCCGGCCCCCGCACGTCCGCGATCTTCTACACCTACAACGGGATGCGTCTCCCGGACGCGTTCAAGGGCGTCTACCTCCCGCGCGGCGCGCACGACGTGTATGCCGCGATCGGTGTCAGCGGGCGTACAGCGTTAAGCGTTAACTTTGGCGGGGAAACGTTCCGGTGGAAGGAGGGGAACGAGTGGGCGTGGCGCGTCGAGGGGCACGTCGGGCAGCTTGCGGCAGGCCCAAGCGCGGACGAGGAGCTTCCGACATACAGCCAGGCGCGGTGGGGCTGAGAGTCGTGCTGTTGGCCCTCCGCTATGCATTGCGTTCGCCATGAACGGATCGATTGCCGGCCTGAACCATGGTTCGACTCCGTCGATTGTTGGCGTTGCTGCGACCGGGGTGCTGTAAAAGGTGGTAGGACGCGATGGTATCCTGGCTTGTTGGTACCGCGCATCACATTTGTACCTATCAGGTCATACATCAAACTGACTCGACAAGACTTTATTCATGCTACCACCTGACCAGCGACAACATCAGAGAACATCTCTGGAACTCGATGAGCGATGCAAAAGTCGTTCACACTGGGGATCCCGGATATGCGCTCAGCTCGCGCTGCAATACATACCCCCGTGACTCGTCAGATTGCCCGGAATGCGAACAATGAAGCCGTGAACAGGATCGGGTGAAGCTTGTCGAGCTCGGAGGAGTTGCACAGGTCGCAAAGGTAAGCCTTTACCCACTCAGCAGTGGCATCGGAAACGTGCCATTACCTAGTACGTGTCACTCTGTGGCCGCGACGGACAATGGGACACTGAGACGCGATTTTTCAGCTGGACTCGTTCAAGGCCACATGGCATGGCCAGCGGAGATGGTCCACCGTCAACCACGCCTACATAAGTGGAACACGTCCTGATACTGCTATACCCTCGCGCCCACAGTCAACTCAGACCCAATGGTTGCTCAACATCTGGCCGAACTTGATGCTATCTTGTATAAGATCCGGGAGCCTATTTGGGGCTACCTGGAAACTATTGAAGATGGTCGTAAGATCCCTTTCGGCCTGATTTCAGAAGAGTGGCACGTTTTCTGCGACGAACACGCAGTTCTTTCCGCTAGGCCGAGAGTGCTAGAACGTGAGTAGCAGCCAGCTTTTAAGGCCCCTTTTCTTGACGTCGATCGTGCTTTCGCAGACGAGATGCCTCTGTTCTCCATATGGAAACGAGGATCCAAGGCTTGCGAACCAAACGTTTACATCCAGCCTCGGGATAAAACTGTTAACATCTTTGTGCGCATTCCTCTGAACTACCCTCGTTCCGATGCGTTTCCTCTAATCCTGCCACCAAGGTCAACGGCGAATGGATACATGCGAACGAATTTCCGCCCATCAGGCGGGTCCGGCCAGATGCTACATTTCGGGCCGGCGATGTTGGTATGTCGGTTTCATGTTGAATGACATCCAAGACCACCCCTCACACCTCGGGCTAGCTTTCGTTTATCGGGACGTGCCCCAGCATGCCAAACGTTACGAATTGATGCCAAGCAACAAGAAACGGAACTCACGCCGTCAAGGGGCCCAAGTCATCGCATCGGGAGGGCAAGGCAGTACGCCATCATGTCCAGTGATCGGACAGCAGCTAACTCACCTTTCAAAGATATCGTGCTTGCCATGCGCACAATTGACGATCTTTCGGACGCAGTCGCCGTCAAGTACATCAGCTACGCCGTAGTCGATGTCCATAGGGTAGCTCGTCAGATCTGCACCTGGCAGAAGTTACGGCATAAGAACGTGCTTCCGTTCCTCAGTTGGCACCTCGTCCACAGAGAAGTCGAAAAGCTCATCTGTACGTGTTTCCATGAAGTGTTGTATTCTTTGACTAATTCGCGTACGGAAGGTTTGGTCACCCCTTTCGCACCTTACGGCTCACTCTACGACTACGTCAAGCACCACGGCAAGCAGCGTGAGTCGCGTTCCTAGGGACATCAATGCTTCATTATGCCCTGCTAACGTTCCTGCTACGTTTAGCGGAGAATTTGGCTCGTTTTATCGTCGCTCAAGTAACGGATGGCTTGAACGTGAGTGATTTGGTTTTGCACGCTGTAGGGCTACAACTGATTGTTCATTGGCAGTACATGCATGATCAGGGCTATGTACACGGTGACGTGAGGCCGCAGGTGTGTTCATTCGATAGCTTGGCTCTGCATCGTCACTGACGAAAAGATGTGATAGAACGTCCTCGTGTTCAGAGAAAGAGAGGATAGTGTCCTGAGCGTCCAAGTCTGCGATTTTGGCCTCACGGAACGTTTCGAAACGACGCTCGTTATCGACAAGACGCAGTTCATAGAATTCGATGCACACCTGCCGGGCCCCCAGGTCATACCCGGGACCGCACATTGGGCTGCGCCCGAGTTGCTTTCCAACTGGTACAACCTATACAGCGAAGCGTTCGGCGTAGGGGGCATCATGTTCTTCTTGTAAGTCCATCGCTATGCCCGCATATGAATACAGATTTCTGAATTTGGCTTCGTAGGCTGTGGGCGAGACCTCTGTATCGCATCGCGAAAGAGACAATAAGTTTGCCCTTCGCTACGCAAATGGGGCAGAGACAGCTGGAACTGAACCAAAGGAGGTTAAATGCCATGAGCCCCCCAGGTGAGTGGACTGTCATCTCGCTAAAGCAGGATACTCACCAAAGTCACTTGCACAGCTCGCGACCTCCTCACCAAGTTAACCCAGGAGTCCGTGCCGGACCGGATAGGATTATTCGAAGCTCGTGCCCACGACTGGCTGCAAGGGATCGAGATGCCTGAGCTGGGTCCCATACCATTGTCTTGGTGGGACGAGTCGGTCGAACGCTATCGCTGTGACGAGATCTATTCTGCCAACACGATTTGCGCCATTCATGGGGATGACGACCAGAGCGACGAAGAGATGCAGGAAGAGGACGCGGATCCCGTCATCGTGCAAAATGTCCCATCTCTTGCAGTGGATGGCATCCATCCTGCGAACGACGGCGACACGAACGTACAAGCCCCTGGATCTTCCGGTCACCTCACGCTAACGCGTACTTGGTCGGACCTTGGATCCGCCGCTGTTCGTTCGAATAACAGCTCTCTGGCTCGAACCTCCACTGTCTTAACCGACATAACCGAGTTGGAGGTCGAGCTGTATCTGACGATGCAGGAGGATACAAGTGCGCCGAGCTCTCCTTCTGGTACGGACACCCAAGCTTCCGGTTCTTCCCCCCACCTCGCGCCAACGCGCACTTGGTCAGACGTTGGGTCTGCGGTTGTGCGTCCGAATAACGGCTCCCTGGCTCGAACCTCCACTATCTTAACCGACATAACCGATATGGAGGTCGAGCTATATCTGACAATGGAGGGGAGCGAGCCAAGCTCTCCTTCTGGGTCCGAGACACCTCGCTTCTGAATGGTAGAGTGCGGCGAACGAAGATCTTTTGCATAGCGATAGGTATGCCACAGTTGATTGGATACGGGTCTGCCGCGACGATGATCTATATATGCCGACGAGGACCATTTCCCCGACGACTGATGTTTAGTTGCTTTTCACATATACGCTGTAGAGTACAAAGATAAGGGAACAGTGTTGCTACTATGTCGTTGCGAAGCAAGTAATCGGAAGGCTCCAGTTTATATAGAGCATGTAATGCGCGCGTGACACGTCGCGCGTGTCGACTTCACCTCGCATAACTCAGCTTTGAGATTCACCGTACCCTCCTTGCTCTCATCAATGGGATCTCCCAACCCGGGGTCGACGCCTCCAACATTTGACTTCAGTGTCCCGACAACGTCAGCTACCCTGGTCAGTGCCTTCTTAGCGCAACAGCAAGGGCACATCACGTCTTCGATACCGAAGCACTACAACGGCGCGAAACGCGGACGAAAACCGCGCGGTGCGACCAATGGTGTCGGGACGACCACGCCGCGTATAACCACCACGATTCCATCCGGACTCAGACATACGTGGAACTCCAATGCGCCGACATCGCCTTCGGTTGGCATCGTGCCCGGTGTGTCTACTCCGTGGGTGAGCGCCAACCCGTCAGGAGCGGGGGCCGAGTCGTCGGACCAAATGAATCGGGTTGGAACGCTGAGCCTACCCGGGATGGACGCTGGTGTCACTGGGGTATCGCCCGCGACGACGGGACCGTCGATGAACACGTTTTCTCTCGGCTTCAACATGAACCATCAAACCATCGGTTCAACACCTTACGGGTCTGGGACCATGGGGCCACCGGGGATGAAGGTGGGCGATGAAGATGGCGAAGGAGACGACGAGCTGTTGCCTGCGATGGCGGATGACGACTACTCGGCGCAGCTGTCGTATCAAAGTCAGTCGAAGGACAATCTCAAGTGCGTACCATACATGCATGGGCGGATGCCAAGTGCTGACATCACGCTCCCAGAGTCTTAATGGACAACCTCAGTCCGGAACAATACGACCGGTTCGAGGCATATCGGCGGCACGCTTTGCCCAAGCAAGCGGTGCGGAAGGTGAGCCACTCATCCCAGCCTCGCTTCATGCCTCTCCCCTCCCTGCTCTCCCTGGCCTTGCGCTGACCGACTCACACTTCAGGTCATCCAACAAGCGCTGGGGCAGCAGGTCTCGCAGCCGGTAGCTCAGATCGTCGCTGGTTTCTCGAAGGTTTTCGTTGGCGAGATCATCGAGAAGGGTGCGTCGCGGATATCTGTCTCTCCCGCCGCAGGTTGCTAACCTATGTAACAATCCAGCGAGACGAGTGCAAGCTCGACGAAACGAACACGGGCCATTGACCCCGGACCATTTGCGGGAGGCGTACCGGATGTATCAGGCTGAGGCAGGACGTGTTGGCGCTGCAAGACCCTTGAAGGGCAAGCGGCTGTTCGTGAAATGAAATCAAGCGGGGGGCGTAAAGGGGGAGGAGATGGAGTAGGATGACGGAACTCGACCAGTAAGCTCGCTTGAATGCGTCGGACGTAAAAACACTGATGCATCGTCATTCTGGTTCAGGGCTTGTGCTCGCCATATCGCTGTCTTGTACGTGCCTTGCTGTGGATGACGACCAGCGGCTGACTGTAAGTTATCGACTCCCACTTCTTCAGAACACTGACCCTGACCGCTGTTCGCCGCGACAGACCGCAATACGAACGCCGCGTCGAGAACCGAAGGAAAGTATCCCGATTGTAACCCCAGGCTTGGTCAAAACCGCGCTTTCTTGCCTAGCGCCTTCGCGCAGTAAGCCGGCGTTATCGGTACCCCTGGGAGCCGAAGACTCCCACGCTTGGTCTCCATTTCGATAAGCACGAGCGCTGTGAATTGCTTTACTGCATGGCCTCGCTCCGGATTTGTATCAGGTTAACTTCCGACTCGAAATCATGTCTGCAAGGACTTGCATTGCTCCAGTGGGCTGAATACTGTGCGCTGGAATAGCATTGCGTATTCCGTACTCAACTTATACTCGACGTCCTTGCTTGCACACCGGTTGTGGGTGCATACGTAGTCGACTCAAACCGGATTTTACAGCGTGCCACGTGTGTGACTGATGGCGAAGGCTATTGGCGCCTTCCTTGGACCTTAGGCCTTGGCCGCCCGCGATTACAGCTAAATTCATTACGATAGACCGTTTTGCGCCAGCTCTGCTTTCGGGTTTTCTTTGCTACCCGTCTTGGGCGGGCTGCGGGCCCGCAGTTGCGCGCTAGGGCGCGTCGAGGGAGTCACCGTGTGGTGTGGGTGAAGCTCTTGCTTGGGCGTAGGCCGGGTGCGAGCGCGACGGCTCGCCCCCGACCTACTCGGTCGACTCTCTCAATCTTGCCCTAGGTTGCTGAAGCGTTGATTCCGGTATATACCTACTCCGTAGTACGTAGACAAATGTCTATGCTAAATTAACATGGATTCGACGGGTCCGCTCCACCAGGGAGAGGAGGGTGGGACGAAAGAAACGAGGGGAGGCCGGACCTCCTTGCCGCCCCTAGGATGTGGCGGCGAGCAGCCAGCGAGACTGCCCTCGCCGCCCAAGAATCAGCACCGCCGCACGTGACCTCCGCTCCGGTGCGTCC